AGAAAACCTGAGGTAGCCATTTTATAGAACTACCTTAGTGTGTCACTCCCTTGCAGAACTATCTTAATGTGGCACTCCCTTGTAATGTACCTGCAGTTTTGATTGGTTTGTGCCTTAAAATCAACAACCTGAAAAGAGGCTTTTCCCCTTATGTTACTTACTTCAAGTCTCGATCTTCTTCCCTCCCAAAAGATGATATCAATCGCTTCAAATTATACATTAGTTTTAAAAAATGGGTGGTCAAGGTCAACACAACATATATTGAGATAAGAAAGGTTGAAAATAATATGGTCACTACACATCACAAAGTACATATCAAACACTAGTACTACAGCATTAGCATCTTTTACATTATCTAAAACACCAAATACAGACACTAATACTAAGATTTTAATAGAGAGAATCTATCTGACATTAATACTTAAAAGAGGTCCCTAGCCTTAACTTAGGCATAATCTGAACATGAATTTTGGTGATATACAGGAAAAAGCAATCAAGTGTTTTATGAAATGGAGTCTCTTTTACTCTATAAAAATTTATTATATGGACGATACTCTTTGTTACTTGATCCTGTGTATCAGCTCATTCAAATCTTCCAAAAGCAGGCATTCAGGAAGCTAATGATCAATACACTTTTATAATACCACTGATGCAATCCATACCCTTGAAAAAGTGACATTTTACAATGAGTTCTCTGTACATTTTTAAATGATGACCCAATGACATTTAAAATAAAGAGAAAGAAAAGTAGAATATTAAAAAGTCAACTGCTGATATTGTGAATAGCGTAAGCTGTGTTGTGCTGATTAGAGATGTGAAAAACTGTGTCATAGCATTCAGGTACTTTTAAAAATCTTACAGAAAAGTGCTTATTTGTCACACAAAAAGCTTTGAAGAGGCAGACAATAGTACATCTACACACATAAGTGATATTCATCATGGAGATTCCAAGATTCTGAGTATTTTCATATAATGCTGTGACTGTCAACCATTCTTTTTAGTCAGTAGCGGACTTCTTGGTGAAGGCAGTAAGGGATGACATTTCTGATGGTTCTGTGGCCAGGCGACTGAATTCGATCTCCTCCCCTGTGCTACTCTGCGTATCTGCATGGGAGAGGTAACGGGTTTAGTATCTGTACGGAATGCTTGTGCCCTTTATGAATGGAGTAACACTGTCACACATTTCAAGTGTCGAAAATCAGCTCACTATCAATATTGGAATAATTTCTAGGAAATACAAAATTTCATGAATCCTTCCCTCAGAGAAACCAATGTCATTATGATATTGCAACATGTATTTTATGAACCAAACTATTCACATAGAATTCAATATTACTGGAGAAACTATTTATTATAAATTTAAACCTAAATTATCAGAATAAAAAGTACTATTCTTCAAACTCATAGCTAATAAGGGTTCCCCATTTATATCCTTACATACATGGTTCACTGGCTATATTCAAACCAATGACTCTATATGATGCATCTAATAGCTGGCTGTTAGAAATGTTTTGATATAAGTTATGCCATTATTCTTTAAAAGGAAGGTCAACCATGCATAGAATTGGGTTGATCTTACAATAAAAAATTGATGTTTATGAGATTACAGTTCCAAATTAAACCACAACTGCAAAGTCCTGCAGATTATAGTGTTACATCTGCAACAAACATTGATAAAAAATTAATAAACAAGATTGGCATATACCAACTTAAGGTCATATATGAACCTAAGGCAAATCATAGTTATTTTTGCTTGTGATAAAATAAGCTGTAATATCAACAATATCAATACTTTTCCATGAAGAGAAAAAAATGAATATTTGCTAATGTTGATACTGATGACAGAAAATATAACCAAAGCATCCAGGAAAAAGTGATTTTTATGAAGTGATAGTTTTCGGAGGAGGAACAGGAGGAGATGAGCAAGAGATGAGAAGATGAGATAAGACTAGGAAGGGAGAAGGTGAAAGTGAGGAGGAGGAGGGGACAAGGAGGAGGAGGAGGAGGAGGAGGGAGGAGAGGAGGAGCAGGAGAGGGGACAAGGAGGAGGAGGAGGAGGAGGAGGGGACAGGAGGAGGAGGAGAGGAGGGGACAAGGAGGAGGAGGGAGGAGGGAGGAGGAGGAGGGGAGACAAGGGGAGAGGGAGGAGGAGGAGACAGGGGACAAGGAGGGAGGAACGAGAGGAGAAGGAGGGGACAAGGGGAGGAGGGGGAAAAAGGAGGAGGGAGGGAAAAGGAGGAGGAGGGAGGAAAGAGGAGGAGGAGGAGGAAGGAGGACAAAGAGGAAAGGAGGACCAGAGGGAGGAGGGACGGAGGAGGAAGGAAGCGGGGACGAGGAGGAAGGGACGAGGAGGAGGGAGGAACGAGGGAGGAGGAAGGAGACGAGGGAGGAGGAGGGAACGAGGAGGAGGACCCGAGGACGAGGAGGAGCGGGAGACGAGGAGGAGACCGGACGAGTGAGGGCAGGGAGGAGACGAGGAGGAGGAGGCAGACGGAGGAGGAATGAGGGACAAGGGAGGAAGAGGGAGGAGGAGAGGGAAGACAGGAGGAGGAGGGGACAGGAGGTAGGAGGGGTACGAGGAGGGGGACGAGGAGGACGAGGAGGAGGAGGAGGAGGAGGGATGGAGGAGGAGACGAGGCGAGGAGGAAGAATGGAACGAGGAGAAGGAGGAGGAGACGAGGAGGAGGAGGGGACAGCGAGGAGGAGCGGGACAAGAGAGGAGAGAAGTGGACAAGGAGGGACGCAGGAGAGCGGAGACGAGGAGGAGGATGGGATGGAGAGAGGAGGAGGGAGGACGGAGGAGAGAGAGGGGAGAGAGGAGGAGAGGACAAAGGAGGGGGAGGAGAGGAGAGGACAAGGAGGAGGAGGAGGAGTGAGAGGAGGACAAGGAGAGACTGGAGGAGGGGAAGCAGGACAAGGAGGAGAGGATCAAGGACGGAGGAGGAAGAAGACGGACAAAGTGCAGGACAGAAGGAGGACGAGCGCAGAGAAGGAGGAAGGAGAAAGGAGGAGGCAGGAGGAGGAAGGGAGGAGGAGGAGGAGGAAAGAAGGGAAAGGGAGAAGGAGGAGGTAGGAGAAGGAGGGAGGATGGGTGGAGTGAAGTGAGAAGAGGAGGGAGAAGGAGAAGGAGAAGGAGGAGTAGGAGAAGGAGGATGGGTGTGTGAAGGAGAAGGAGGAGGAAGCAGGAGGATGGGTGGGTGAAGAAGAAGGAGGAAAAAGAAGAAGGAGGAAAAGAAGAAGAGAAGAAGAAGAGGGAAAGAAGAAGAGGAAGAAGGAGAAGAAAAGAGAAGAGGAAGAAGAAGAAGAAGAAGAAAAGAAGAAGAAGAAGAGGAAGAAGAAGAAGAGAGAAGAAGAAGAGAAGATAGGAGAAGAAAGGGAAAGAAGGGAAGAGAAGGAGAGAAGGAGAGAAAGAGAAGAAGAAAGAAGGGGAGAAGAAGAGAAGAAAGAGAAGGAAGGAGAAGAAGGAGAAGAAGGAGAAGAAGGAGAAAGAAGGAGAAGAAGGAGGAAGAAGGAAGAAGAAGGAGGAAGAGAGAAGAAGGAGAAGAAGGAGAGAAGGAGAAGAAGGAACAGGGAGGAAAGGAGAAGGAGAAGGAGAAGGAGAAGGAGAAGGAGAAGGAGGAAGGAGAAGGAGAAGGAGAAGGAGAAGGAGAAGGAGAAGGAGAAGGAGAAGGAAGGAGAAGGAGAAGGAGAAGGAGAAGGAGAAGAAGGAAGAAGAGAAGAAGAAGAAGAAGAAGAGAAAGAAGCAAGAAGAAGAAGAAGAAGCAAGCAAGAAGAGAAGAAGAAAGAAGAAAGAAGAAGAAGAAGTGAGGAGGAGAAGAGAAGGGAGAAGGGAGTAAGGAGAAGGAAGAAGAGTGAAGACGAGAAGGGAGAGGAGAAGTGAGAAGCGAGAAGGAAGAAGGAGAAGAAGGAAGAAGCGAGAAGGAAAGCGAGACAGGAGAAGAGAAGGAGGAAGGAGAAGCAGAAGGAGGAGGAGGAGGAGGAGGGGTGGAAAAGAAGGAGAAGGGAAGAGGAAATGAGGCAGAAGAAGAGGGAGGGTGTTGGAGGAGGAGGAGGCAGGAGGGAGGAGGCGAGGAGGAGGAGGAGTTTAAGGCGGGAGGAGGAGGAGGAGGAGTCAGGGAGGAGGCGAGGAGGAGGAGTAGGGGAGGATGGAGGAGGAGGAGGAGAGGGGGAGGGGGAGGGGGAGGAGGAGGAGGAGTTAGGGGGAGGAGGCAGAGTAGGGGGAGGGGGAGGAGGAGGAGGGAGGAGGGGGAGGAGGAGGAGAGAGAAGGAGGCAGGGGTGGGCGAAAAGAAGGAGAAGGAAGAGGGAAAAAGCAGGAGAATAAGGAGGAGGTGTGGAGGAGGCAGGAGGAGGAGGGGTGGAGATGGAGGAAGGTGAGAAGGAGGTAGGAGGCGTACGGGGAGGGGATGAGGAGGAGGGGGAGGAGGGTGTGAAGCGAGAAGGAGGAGGGGCCAGGGGTGGCGTGGGAAGGGCAGAAGGAGGGACGGGAGGAGGGTTGAAGGAGAAGGAGGAGGGAGGAGGTGTGAAGGAGACAGGAGGAGGGGGAGGAGGGGTGAAAGGAGAAGGAGGAGGGGAAGGAGGGGTGAAGGAGGAGGAGGGGGAGGAGGGTGTTGAAGGAGAAGGAGGCAATTGAGGGGAGGAGAGCTGAAGGAGAAGGAGGCAGGGGTGAAGGAGGAAAGAGAGTGGGAGGAGGGGTGAAGTGAGAAGGCAGGAGGGGGAGGAGGGGTGAAGGGAGGAGGAGGGGGCAGCCAGTGAGGATGGGTTGTGTGAAGGAGGAGGAGGGGGAGCAGGAGGATGGGTGTGTGAAGGAGAAGGAGGATGGGTGGTGAAGGGAGCAAAGAGGGATGGGTTGTGAAGGTATATGATGCGCGTGGTGAAGAGGAGGAGGAGGGTGAGCAGGAGGATGGGTGGTAAAGGAGGAGGAGGAGGGAGGGGCTGAAGGAGAAGGTGAGGAGGGGAGCAGGGAAGATGGGTGGTGGAAGGAGAGGAGGAGGAGGAGGAGAGGAGGAAAAGTAAGAAGAAGAGGAAGAAGAAGAGGGTAGCAAGAAGAAGGAAGAGGAGGAGAAGGAGAAGGGAGAAGGAGGGAGAAGAAAGGGGAGAAGGTGGAGGAGAAGCAGAAGGAGAAGGTGGAGGAGGAAGGAGAAGGAGTAAGGAGAAGAAGAAGGAGGAGGAGAAGAGAGAAGGTGCCCGAGGAGGAGGAGAAGGAGGAGGGGTGGAAAAGAAGGAGAAGGAAGAGCGAAAGAAAGGAGAAGAAGGAGAGAGGGGTGGGCGGAGGAGGAGGAGTAGGAGGGGGGGAGAGGAGGAGGAGGAGAGGAAGCGATTGGAGATGGAGGAGGCAGGAGGGATGGAGATGGAAGAAGGAGGAGGAGGAGGGGAGGAGGAGGAAGGAGGAGGAGGGGAGCAGGGGGCTGAAGGGGAGGAGGAGGGCGGAGCAGGAGGATCGGGTGGTGAAGAGAGAAGGAGGAGGGGGGAGCAGGAGGATGAGTGAAGGAGAAGAGGAGGGGGAGCAGAGAGGACTGGGTGGCGTGAAGGGAGAAGGAGGAGGGGAGCCAGCGAGGATGGGTGGTGAAGAAGAAGAGGGAAAAGATGAAGAGAAGAAGAAGAAGAAGAAGAAGAAGGGAAAAGATGAAGAGGAAGAAAGAAGGAAAAGGATGAAGCAAGAAGGATGGAAGAAGAAGGAAAAGATTGAAGAAGAAGAAACAAGAAAGAAGGAGAAGGAGAAGAAGGAGAAGGGAGAAGCGAGAAGGAGGCGATGGAGGAGAAAAGGAGAAGGAGAAGGCAGGAGATAGGAGGAGGAGAAGGAGGAGGAGGAGAAGGAGGCAGGAGGAGCAAGCGAGGAGAGGCAGGAGGAGGAGGAGGAGGAGGTAGCGAGGAGGAGGAGAGGCGCGAGGAGGAGGGCGGAGGAGGAGGCGGGAGAGAGGCAGGAGGAGCGAGGAGGCGGAGGAGGAGGCAGCTAGGCGCGAGGAGGAGCGGAGGAGGATGGAGGCGCCGAGGAGGAGGAGGACGGCGGAGTGGCAGTGAGGCGCCGAGCGAGAAGGCGGAGGAGGCAGGAGGAGGAGGCGGAAGGAGGAGGAGGAGGAGGCGGAGGGAGGAGGAGGAGGCGGCGAGGAGGAGCGCGGAGGAGGAGGAGGAAAGAGAGGAGGAGGCGGAGGCTAGAGGAGGAGAGAGGAGGAGGCGGAGAGGCGGGAGGAGGCAGCGGAGGAGGAGGAGGCGGAGGAGGGGAGGAGGAGGAGGAAGGCGGAGGAGCGAGGAGGCAGGAGGAGAAGGAGGAGAGGAGAGGAGGAGGAGGAGAGGAGGAGGAGGAGGAAGGAGGAAGGAGGAGGAGGAGTGAGGAGGAGGAGGAGGAGGAGGAGGAGGAGGGAGCGAGGCGAGGAGGAGGAGGAGAGAAGGAGAAGGAAGAAAGAAGAGAGAAGACAGAAGAAGAGAAGAAGAAGAAGAGAAGAAGAAGAAGAAGAAGAAGAAGAAAGAAGAAGAAGAAGAAGAAGAAGAAGAAGAAGAAGAGGAGGAGGAGAGGCGCGAGAGGAGAAGAAGAAGGAGGAGGAGGGTGGAAAAGAAGGAGAAGGGAGAGGGAAAGAAAGGAGAAGAAGGAGGAGAGGGTGGAGGAGGAGGAGGAGGAGGGTGGAGAGGGGTGGAGAGTGAGAGGAGAAGGAGGAGGAGGGGTGGGCAGATGGAGAAGGCGAGGCAAGGGTGGAGATGGGAGATGGAGATGGAAAAGGGAGGAGGAGGGGTGGAGATGGAGACAGGAGGAGGACGGGGTGGAGATGAGAAGAGGAGAGGGTGGAGATGGAGAAGGAGGAGGAGGGGTGGAGATGGAGAAGGAGGAGGAGGGTGGAGATGGAGAAGGGAGGAGGAGGACGGTGGAGATGGAGAAGGAGGAGGGGGAGATGGAGAGGAGGAGGAGGGGTGGAGATGGGAGAAGGAGGAGGAGGAGGGAGGAGGAGAGGTGGAAGGAGAAGGAGGAGGGGGAGGAGGAGGAGGAGGAGAAGGGGTGAAGGAGAAGGAGGAGGGGAGCAGGAGGGATGGGTGGTGAAGGAGAAGGAGGAGAGGGTGGAAGAAGGAGGGATGCAGGAGGGGTAGAGGAGAAGGGAGGAGGACGGGGTGGAGGATGAGGAGAAGGAGAGCAGGGAGGAGGAGGAGGGGTAGAAGGAGAAGGCAGGAGGAGGAGGGGTAAGAGGAGAGAAGCAGGAGGAGGAGGGGAGGAGGGAGGAGCAGGACTGGTAGAGGAGGAGGAGGAGGAGGAGGAGGGGGGAGAAGGAGGAGGAGGAGGGAGAAGGAGAAGAGGAGGGAGAGGAGGTGAGAGGAAGGAGGAGGAGGAGAGGGAGAAGGAGGAGGAGGAGGAGGGGTAGAGAAGGAGGAGGAGGAGAGGGGGAGGAGAAGGAGGAGGGAGGAGGAGGAGGGGAGAAGGAGGAGGAGGAGGAGGAGTGGAGAAGGAGGAGAGGAGGAGGAGGAGGAGGAAGGAGGAGGAGGAGGAGAGAGAAGGAGGAGGAGGAGGGGGTGTGAGAAGGAGGAGGAGGAGGAGGGGGGAGAAGGAGAAGGAGGAGGAGGAGGAGGGAGGAGGAGGGGGAGAAGGAGGAGGAGGTGGAGAAGGAGGAGGAGGAGGGAGGATGGAGAAGGAGGAGAGGAGAGGAGGAGGTGGAAAGAGGAGGAGGAGGTGGAGAAGGAGAAGAAGTGGTGGTGGATGAAGAATAACCATAGAACAAGGAATGAACATTGAATTTTGTAAGAATGAAATTCTGTCATGGCCCTGGATAGTTTGGTGCTGTACCTGTACCAATGTCTTCATGGGCTTGTGGACCTGACGAGCATACACTTTTTTTTCTAAATTATACATACAAGACATAATTACCAAAGAAATGTTCCACAAATACATTTTTCCACTCCTTTGATTTTTTTCTCTCTCAATTTCAATAATTACAACTGGTCTGGAGATTTAGACTACAGACTAAAGGTATAATATGCAAACAAAAGGTTCTTTTGAATGTAAAGGTACTAATATGTTGGAATTATCTGATAAGGGGCAAGTCCTTGTACAGTATAGAAAAAAAATATATATATATATATATAAATGATTAACAATCCTGAACTAATTGGGGCTTACCTCGTGCCAAAAGTGCTCCGTGAATTGAGGCTAGACCTATAAGTGCCAGGAGTGCTGAGGTTAGTGGACAAAGCAAACTTACAGAGGAGTTATGGGGTTAGGTAAAGCAAGTGATGACGTCAAGCAAATTCATATATGGTATGTGTTTTGTGTGTATCACTGCTTACGTGCGTGCCTGTACGTATGTGGATTAATGTGCCGGGCATTTGTGAAAATATGGCTGGGCTGCCCATTATCATATACCATGCTTGGCAAAATCATGCCAATAATTGCTCACTGGGGTCATATGTTGTGATATCTGGTTTGGTGGCAATAACATGCTTGATTATTCTTTACATTTCTGTCCTCTTACTACTCAGGTTCAAAGGCATGCTAAATCTTATATCTTACAAGTTATACAATGGTTAAAAAATAATACTATTCTCCTAATTCTTCTAACACACTGAAGTGTGTTCCAAGAGCAATGTATGAAACAAAACACATAGAAGAATGCATATTGAACCTATTTCCCATTGTATAATTTCCCTCAATGCTTTCCTTATAATTAATTTTCTAGCACAGTAAGAGTTGGATCAACTTTTTTTTTTAAGTTATCAAAATCTGTATCAATTTTAAACTGAGATTTAAGCAAAAATCCTAAACCTTCTTATAAAATTATGGTTTCCTAAACATTGTTCCCATTTGGATAAATGAAAAAAAATAGTGAGGAAAGTCCCTCTTTGTTCAATGTGAACGCAATACCTGATACATCACAGAAGAGTATTTCAAGTTCTGGTTGCTTTATCTATCTTTATCCACTATCTATCTATTTATACAATGCCATATTTTTCTACAATGATACAACAACTACATGGGAATTGCAAAGCAACAGAAAAGGCCTGAAAGAAGGGCCTTTTAATAATTATTACAAAGAAATGAAAAATAACATTAATAAATTCTATATTAGACAGTGATAAAAGATACAATTATGAAGAAAATGATAAAACAAAAAGAACATTTAGAATATCACCTTATTCAATTTCTCTCACAAAAAAGAGGAAGCGAACCCTTAGCCAAACCTACCTACAAGACGTCAACAAACAGTAACATCCAACATCAAAAGCAGTATCATGTCCTTATTGTATATACTCATATGATTCCCTAGTATTACAACTCATTCAAGCTGTATCATTCTAAATATTGTAATGCATACAATAGTTATTCAACAAGAAATTACTCCAGTAACTATTATTCATCGAAGCTCAATTCACCAGTCTGGCATTTCTACTTTGTATTATCTAAAGAATTACAATTCAATCTATCCAAATAACATGTAAATAATTTGTGCAAGAAATATGCACATTTAGTTGGTTATAACTTTGGAAGCTGGCATTTACAAAAATTGAGTATTATTTACCAGTGTAGTGCACACAATTACCATTATGGTGTGCAATAAATCTTTTTAATCTTGAAGATATATATCAAGGGTATTTTCTGATAGAAAAAAAAAAATTGGTACCAGCACAAAACTCAACCAGAGCTGCGGCTTACTTAGTGTAATCATTACTAAAGAACGCCAAACCAATCATATACATATAAAGATATGATACTGCAATAGCGTTGAATTCCAAACGCAACTTCCTCCTTACCAGGAGGCAGAGAAGAGATACTAAAACTTTACTAGAAAAAGTACACTATTTGATAAAAGCAGGAAAGAAAAAAAGATTGTAAAATTACAAAAGTATACTTTATGAAAAATAATGCAAGGAATATGAATAAATGGAAATAAACATAGGTATATAAATAGCAAACCAACCAAACACACACACACAAAAAAAAAGAGAAAAAAAAGAAAGAAAAGAAAAAGAAGAAACACACACACACACACACACACACACACACACACACACACACACTGATGGAAA